GTATATATATTTATATATATATATATATATATATATAGAGATGGAGATGGAGATGTAGATGTATCATAGGCATAGGAAACGTAGATAACATGTTAGTCAGGTGCTGCTGCTGCTGTTGCTGCTGTTGCTGTATGAGGGGAGGCGGAGCGACAGGAAAAAGAACAATAGTATTTAGAATAATAAATGAGAGTAAATAATATTAATAATATTTTTTGATGCAAAAGAAATAAATAAAAAGAAAACCAGCGGGGGGATGAATAAGAGAACAAGAACAAGGTGCATATGCAGTGTTATATTACAGCAAACGATGCAAACGAACAAACAAAAAACAGAGAAGAACAAGAAGAAGAAGAACAAGTATGAAGAGAATAAGAACAGCAGCAAATGCCATTGAAAGCAGAAAACAAACAGCGGGCAACACACAATATATTAACTTTATAAACACACAGAAAGAAGTAGCTTATGCTGGGGATCTATAAGCCTCACCTTCTGTTACATCTTCTGCAGTATCTCCGCTAAGCAGAGAAACATTTGCATCACCTGTATCTCTTGGTATTTTTTTTGTCTTTTGAGTCGATGTGTTTACATCTTCATGTGCATTTACCTTTGCATCCTTGGTGTTAGCTGCATCTGTGTTCTTTCTAGACGCATTTATTTCTTCCTTTTTCTGTTTGTTTTCTCCTGCATGCGCTGGAGCAACTGTAGATGACTGAGAAGAAGCTGAATTCACAGATGTTACACTGCATAGCACCAAAACGGCGAGTGAGAATGCAGCAACAGCCCCTATAGCGGTACCTCTGATCCTCATTTTCTCGATATTTTCTTCTTAATATTGAGAAATAATGAAGTTCAAATAAACTTCAATGAAATATTTCCGCTGATTACGCGGAAAAAACTACAAAAAAAGGGGGCGAAGCACCCACGATCCGCTGGCTAGTGCGTGTGTTTCAAGGAAAACTACGGGGAATGAGGGGAAGAAATTGTTGCAGAAAGTCAAGGAAATTATATTTAAATAGATTTCTGAATTTTTAACCTTTAAATGCAAGAAATATGCGCCGGCACTGAAGCCGCATCTCAGTTGCAGCCAACATTGTATAGAGGTGGCTTATAGGGCTAGTAGCAGCGCCGATGCCCAACCTTGTTGAAGAAAGCAATAAAAATAGAAACACGAATTCAATTAAAATTAAAATTTACTCTTTTTTTTATTTATTTACTTTTTAAACACAAAAACTTTATGACATTGACTACTCAGTCACTAACAACCGCAGCTTTTCAACAGGCCTCAACCATCATACAATACATCGAAACTGGAATCATCAGAGTGAGTTCATGTTTTTTCATGGCGCAATACTGCTTTTATTGTTTTTGTGTTTAGTTTCTTTTCTCAATTGAGAAACAGAAAGCACAGATGCAGTCGCGCCCAATGAAGTTAGAAATCTCGCTGTGTGCGGCACACTGGGTGGCTGTGTCGGTGCTGCCTCAGACGAGCAACGAAGCAGAAAAACACAGAAATATGCAAAAAATATGTAATTTTAGTTTATTCAAATCAATTTAAAAAACAAGAGACAAATGCCAACTCAAAGAGGAGGTCTCTATTGTTGATCTTACCTCATGTTATAGGGGAATGCCACGGCGCTAGTACTCCAGCTGTAGCATAACATAGCTGTGTGCAGTTATTTTTAATGAATATAATTGTTACTTTAAAGCAAACTAATTTAATATAGGACGAACCGAGTTACACATCGGCTTGCATCAAGTGGCTTAGAAGAACTGCACATCTGAAGAGAAAGCTGTACACGTTCATGTTTCTGCTGCATTCTATACGAGTGCAACTTGCATACACCGTGAGAATGTGAAATATACGCCGACTGAAACACCAGGAGGGTCACTTCTTAACCACCCCAGAGCTAGAATACACACTGGGTCTAGAACCCTCAACTAGCGCTTTCTATGGTTCTCCTACACGGGCTAGCCCACTGGCTATGGGGGTGGGCATCCAACTGCCCAAAGGAAATAAGCTGAGTTTCTGTGTCATGTCATTGACTGTTGAGAACAGTGTTTCCCTCAAGTGTATGGAGAAAACGTCATTCAAAAAAATTATGCTGAAAAAATACGTATATGTTTTATATTACACTAAAAAATGGAATGCTACTCCCAATCGAAGTAGAAAAACGTTCATTTCTTGCAATTTATAGACGAAAATATGACACTGAAACGATCCATAGAAAGCACAGCAACCACTGCATAAGGAGAAAACCTCCAGAGGCCATGTTAAGCTTTTGCTCAACGTCTCGGTCTGCGGCCTCTACAGCAAGTACTGCTGGAACACCTCCCTCGAAGAGTTATTTATTATTCTCTCTCACCACACAACTAAAAGCAAAAGGAGAAGTTACAACAGGCGCGGATGTGATGAGTGTTTTACTTGCTGCAATATGCACAGAGTCCACTGGCGAGCTGTTTGCGTCATCAGGCGGCTACATTTGGTCGTGTTTAGGTGTATGCTTGTTCTACCGCTACTGCTGGATCGATAGTTTCAACGGTATCCTTCACTCTCGTACTCTTGAGACCCCAATCCTGCATTGATTCATCATCTGCTAGCTGCCAGTTCCGCACAGAAGGCGTAGAATCTCCCTCTGTATACGAGTAACCCAGCTGCTCCCCGTCTGTGTCAGCGAGAGGCCTCCAAAATGCCCCTTTAGTAGAATGCCTGGATTTACGGTGATGGCTTATGCTCAAGGCTAGCAAGGCAATGGTGCACACCAGCAGAACCAGAGAAGCTTTCTTCGCTTGCATCCTCAAGGGATCGAAGGTCTTTGTGTCTTCTTCATCATCTGAATCTTTTACAGTCGTACCAACGAGTTCACTCGATTCTGCATCCAAGTGTTTCTCTGTATACACAAGCAGTCAGTAGCATACATGTAGGCAAATGTCTCAGCAACACAGTAACCATGTTTCCTCCGTATTTCACTAGAGAGAGCAACGAACACAGTAAAAGTTAGAATAACAAACACAAGAACAAGCAAAGACGAAAACTGTCGTGCATCAACAAACATCTATGAATGTATCATATAAGCATAAATATGGAAATATTGCAGTAATACTGAAATAAGGAGTTAAAAGTTTCCCAATTCTGCCACGTTTCCACAGCAGACCTGGTGAAGCCTGAGATGAATTCTCCGTGAGAGTTTCTCCCCTCGCAGCTTCCTCAGAACGAACCAACTCCAGCAGTCGCTGACTATAACTACCCCAGCCAACGTAATGGCTGTTGAAGTGGCTTCCTGCAGGCACCGATTCGAGCCACTTCTTCGGTGCCCCGCACGCCTATATATCGTAGAATATTTAACCACACAAAGAAAAAGAAAATGAAATTCAGATATTCAGCTTCCCCTGTCGCAGCGCTCAACACGGAGAACCCACTACTGCCATAGCATAGAACAATGAAAACTCTCTATGGGGTATATCCTGTTCTAACAGAAGAGTCAACGAGAGAATAAGAGAAACGAAACACTCTCACAGCCTGCACTACGTGGCCCCGCTTAGTTTCAGATGCACTATAACACTAAGCTTTCGCTTACTTTATAAAGTCTATCTGTATGCTCTGCAGGAATGTTTGTATCCTGTCTCCCGCAAAGAAATAAAGTTGGCATCTTCAAGTTCCCAACTTTTTCAATGTTTGACATGCGGGTTCTCTGATTAAAAAAAAAAAAAAAAAAAGAAAAAAAATTAAATATGTTATAGAATAGTAGCGACTATCCCGGTCCCTACAAACACTTTCTTCTATCTATTCCTTGTTGTATGCTTGTGTATACCTTTGCTGCGTTGCACTCCAGCAAGCAAGGAAAAGGAAATACAGTATGCATTCAGTATCACACATATAACGTGTAGATGCATATCTCAAAGAAATTCATTCATTTCCATCGCAGAGGAGATTAGATAACCACGTTTTTTTATTCTGTTGAATACTCCCCTTTTCTAGTGTTGTTTCTGGGGCGAAATTTCTGTATGTGTATATATATAAATATATATATATAAATATATATAAAATATATAACAGCAAGTACAAAAGGTATTCGCACTGACCTGTATAAACTGCAGCATCCATGTAAGTGGACGCAGCTGAGGAAATGCATCCCGTATAATATCTTTTAACGAAGTGAAGGCGTTCTCCACAACCAAGCCTTTTATCTGTAGGAACATGAGGGCCCCAGAAGCATAAATACAAGAGCTAACAAAGTAAAGAACAAAGAAGTTTCGCTGCATCGTCGAGATACAAAGCTGCGTATAGTACAAACCCGTTGAAAATAAAATAAAATTTTATCTATGAAACGCCAACAAAAACTTTGTAGTGTTGGGGCTTCCCCAGAAGCAAACAAAAGAAAACACAGGCAACCGTTGGTTGCAGCAGCAACAGAAACACCAGCAACTGCAGCAGAGT